CATTGATAGGTACAAAGCTCGTTTGGTAGCCAAAGGCTTCAAACAAAGGTATGGAATCGATTATGAAGATACCTTTAGTCCCGTGGTAAAGGCAGCAACAATACGGTTGATATTGTCCATTGCCATGTCAAAAGGATGGACCCTGAGACAACTTGATGTCCAAAATGCATTCCTTCATGGTGTATTAGAGGAGGAAGTCTACATGAATCAGCCACCGGGCTACATTAGCAAGAGTCATCCCAACTTTGTGTGCAAACTTGACAAGGCTCTCTATGGCTTGAAACAAGCACCTCGGGCATGGTATGCAAGGTTGTGCAATAGATTGGAAGAGCTAGGATTTGTTCCTTCGAAGGCAGATACCTCTCTTTTCTATTACAACCATGGGCAGCACAGAGTGTTTGTTCTTGTTTATGTTGATGATATCATAGTTGCTAGCTCATCTCAGGAGGCAACCGAAGCATTACTCAAGAATCTGCAGAAAGAATTTGCACTCAAGGATCTAGGAGACTTGCATTTCTTCTTGGGAATTGAAGTAAAAAGAACAACAGATGGGTTGTTGCTATCCCAAGGAAGGTATGCTGCGGACATCTTGGCGAGATCAGGGATGGACAAAGCCAGGGTGGTAGACACGCCGCTCTCTACCAGTGAGAAACTCAGTGTAACCGATGGACAAAGGCTTGGTGAAGAAGATTCTACACGATACAGAAGCTTAGTTGGAGCACTACAGTACCTAACCTTGACACGGCCTGACCTCTCCTTCGCCGTAAACAAGGTATGTCAGTTTCTACATGCCCCAACCTCGGTTCATTGGAGTGCAGTTAAAAGAATCTTGCGGTATGTCAAGGGTACCCTAAGTATGGGACTCAAGATCAAGAGGTCTCCATCCATGATGGTGAGTGCTTTCTCAGATGCAGACTGGGCAGGATGTGTAGATGATAGAAGATCCACTGGCGGCTTTGCTGTGTTCCTAGGAAGTAATCTAATCTCATGGACAGCAAGGAAGCAAGCAACAGTATCTAGATCTAGTACAGAGGCAGAATACAAAGCCTTAGCCAATGCTACGGCTGAAATGATGTGGGTGCAAAGGTTATTAACTGAACTCAAGATAGATCATCCACCTGCAGCTCGGTTATGGTGTGACAATCTTGGTGCAAAATATCTATCTGCCAATCCTGTCTTTCATGCTAGAACTAAACACATTGAGATCGACTTTCATTTTGTTAGAGAAAGAGTTGCACGGAAGCTTCTTGATATATGCTTCATCAACTCTGGTGACCAGTTAGCGGATGGTTTCACCAAGGCGATATCAGCTCAGAAGATGAGAGAGTTCAGGTTCAATCTTAACCTTGTTAGTAAATCTCTCTCTGTAACGTTTATAACCAGTCCAGGTACATTGTATCTATGAGACCTGTGGCTTAGTAATCAGATCCCTAATTGTAGGACCTTCTTGTTGTAACCATGCATGCTGTAAACGCCATCACCGGTGGGCTGTTCACCGAGTATATTAACACGGAACCGAGTGCCTGGTACGGCATCTCGTTCTCCCATTCCCGACCTGCAATCCCGTCAAATGGTTGCAGACTTTCGTTCATCTCTCTCGCTACCGCTCGCCTGGAATCTTTCTGAATTCTGATAAACATTCACCGTCACATCATCACATTGCATGCAGGCGGCTTCATCCTGTGCGCAAGATGCAGGGTGTACAAGTGCGTCACATTCCCCGAAAGCAATGAATTGTGACCTCGTCCGTCATGGTCACACTTATGGGATGTGGATCATGTTTGTTTCGAGCGAGTCTGATTTTGTGGATTATTACCTTCTGATCATGTTTGAAGGAGAATTATTATCTTCTGATCATGTTCACAGTCACAGGAGAACATTTGTGCATCTACCAATTTAATTTCACACAGATGCTTGCTCTTCTTATAGATTGGTTCTAACAAAGGTCACTACACATGCATCCCTTGTACTTGTTTTTCTCTTTTTTTTAAGGGAAACACCAAAGGGGTGAGCTTCCAGCAACCTAAATGACCATAGCACGTTGCTCTAGTCAGCTACAGAGGCAACAACGGTTTGTTTGAGATGAATTTAAGCCGCAACAGCGGTTGTCACGGTGTATCACTGAGAAGCAAAACAGTAAAAAGCTACAGCCACAACACCTACTTTAGTGCTACTGAGCACCCTAAGGCAGGCCAGTAGTACTCATGCCATGCTTAGAGCAAAGGCATGGTCGAGAGTAGCCCTGTTAATAGATTTAAGGGTACCCTAGATTTAAACACACCATTTACCCAACTCAATCCATATCAAATTGAGGACATGTTTAGTGGGGCTCCTGCATCGGTTTCGCGTGCGCTCTTGCACCAGAGCACAAGGAGCCAAGCCACACCAAACACGCCCTAACTCTCTCACCAAATCCATCTCACTCCACAACTTTAATGTTTCAACTCAACCCAACTCAGCAGTTAGTAGACCACACAGGTTTACTACAATAACCCATGGGTTTGTATAAAATGTATATGTAAGTTCGAATAAAATATATGGATTCAAATCAAAGCCGGAGCCTAGATTTGAAATCTCATGTTTATCCCTAAAAAAATATCAAAATTGACTAAAAATTATTGGGATGGTTCAAAATTGACTAAAACACCCCTCTCTATACTAGAGATAGAGAGATAGAGAGAGTTAGTGTGTCTCTGATGGAGAACGAAGGTATCTTAAGAGCACAACTATACATTAACATAATATAGCAATGAGCATGCCAAGACCACAACTATACATTAACATAAGAGTAAAGTCCACTAGCAGTCCTCAAACTTGTTCAGCTGTGTTATCCCGGTTCCTAAACTCGCAAATCGACCGTTTAGGTCCTCAAACTTATTCATCTGTGTCATCCCGGTCCTAAACTTTTAAATCGCTCGTTTAGGTCTTCAAACTTGTTCGACTGTATCATCTAGGTCCCTAAACTTGCAATTCACTCGTTTAGGTCTTCAAACTTATTCAGTTGTGTCATCCCGGTCCCCAAAATTTTGTAAATACTATAAACTTATAAATTCAATATATATTTATAGAACTATCCAAAAATTATAAATCTAATTTTGTTAGACTCCAGCTAACATGTACATTAAATTGGAATAAGAGAAATCACCATATACTTTCTCTTTTTAACTCTGTAGTTAAATGACTAAATAGGCATGTATATTTTTATAAATCCTAAAAATATATGTGCCTATTTAGTTATTGAACTGTAGAGTTAAAAATAGAAAGTACATGATGATTTCTTTTATTCTAATTTAAAGTACATGTTACCATGAGTCTAACAAAATTAGATTTATAATTTTTAGACAGTTCTATAAATATATATTGAATTTACAAGTTAACAGTATTTAGGGACTGGGATGACACAACTGAACAAGTTTGAGGATCTAAACGGGTGATTTGCAAGTTTAGGAACCTATATGATACGAACGAACAAGTTTGATGACCTAAACGAGCGATTTGAGAGTTTAGGGACCGGGATGACACAGATGAACAAGTTTGTGGACTTGAACGATCGATTTACGAGTTTAGGGATCGGGATGACACAGCCAAACAAGTTCGAGGACTGGCGGTGCACTTTACTCTTAACATAATATAGCAATGAGCATGCCAAGTTGCAAAGCCACTAAACCTTGATTTTCATTCTCGGTTAACCTTGCTAGGTTGGCAACTACAACTGCTAAAATATCTGTTGGAGTATGAAAGAGTTGCCTAACTAAATACAAAACACCACCGGCATAATAACAATTTAACATTTAGATAAAGTTGTAGAGGAAGCAAGAGCAGGCACCACCACCATCCACCAATAATCCACCATGGTACAGAAGCTGCTTAAGCCTAGCATGACACAAGCAGAAAAGCATGCGTCAAGTCAGTGGTTAGACAAACTGAACCAATCTGATCAAATATAATAGTACAAAGCGTATGCACCAATGAAGTTTTGAGATACCTAAACTGTAATAAGATTCTAATTATGCAAAAAGTACAAAGGGAGTGGTCTAGATGTGAAATCAGTATGACCATTTTGTTTGCTCTGCTGGACAAGCTATAGCATCTCTAATCAACAATACTACAACTATCCTTGTACAACTTCTGGAAACAACATGTCTACATTAGTGTGTGTTTGACTCATCAACAATGTAATAACTTGCAAAATAAATATATACATCCTAGCAAACACACATTCTAGAACAGGATCATTGCATCAGAGGCAAGACTTACCCCGATTCGCCACTTTCTCTTCACCCGCCACCTGTCGTTTCCCCTCCGAAACGCTATTTGTCCCTTGTTCCTATAGCCCGGGGTAGGACGATAATGAGCTTACCATGGAGCACAAAATGTTCCGGAGAAAGGAACCGTAATTATTAGCAAGGACAATGATGGAATGGAAAACGAAACACAGGCCATACTGACCATTTTTGGCGATAGCAACATGTGTAGATATGGCTAATGATGTTACAAGGACTTGGCCCAACATCAGGTCTGTTCGCTTGAACTTATCAATTGGAATCTACAGTATTTTTCTCTCACAACAAATCAGCTTCAGCCGGCTTTAATACCAGCCGAACATGCCCGTGCGTTAGGTATATTTGTCGCCAGCAATATTGTGCCGCTGCTGAGGTGATATTGAGCGAGAATACGTTTATACCCATTGTAAAAGACAATGGTGTCATCCACAATGGTAGGAAACGCCTTAGAACCAATGCGTGTCACCGGGACAGCTCTTCCCAGCACAAGGTCAGCTACTCTGTGAACTAAAACTTTCTTATAATCGTTACTCATACTGACCACCATCAACTCCGCGCCGCATTCTGCCAGATAGTGGTGATTAGTCCCGGTCACGTCTGAACTATATGGAAGTGGACATTTGGCAATGGACCTTGGTGGCGGCATCCAGGGTTCCTCCATCCCTTTGTAGTAGCTGTGGGGGGCCGATCTCCAGGATATCTGGTTTCGCGTAACTGTCAGTACACCTCAACACATATATCTTGCCTTGGAACGAGAGTGGACTGCAGTATTGATCCACAAAATAGCTTGAAACTCTCCATCGCTGTTCCCTGGAGGTAGCAGGCTATCTTGGACCAACCGCATCCCCCAAAGATCATGAGCGAGACGACTCCATCCGCGCTCACGTTCATGGAGCTAGCACTGACATGTCTGATATAGATCCACTTGCTTCGGTGCGGCAACGTGCCCACGTACGGTAGGAGGGTCTCCTCAGGCGGGAAGTCGAGGATGTCGCCGGTGAAGGGGTTGAGGAGGCGGGCGGCGGTGTCGATGGAGTCGAGGACGCAGTGGTCCCTGAAGAGCGGGAGGTGGACGCGGACGAAGGCGCCCGTCGAGAGGTTGAAGAAGCGGACGAACCCGCGCAGCTTGCCGTGGCCAGGGTACAGGCCGTGGCCCTCGGGCAGCATCATCCACCGCCGCGGGTGGAAGCGCTGGTCCACGATGCCGCGGCCTCGCGGGCTGGCGGTGCTGGAGCGCCAGTGCGCGCACACGGCGCGGAGCCGGACGTAGTCACGCAAGTCGACCGCCAGCACCCGCCACGCGATCAGGTCCACCAGATCCTCGGGCAGGGATGCCCACGAGGACGACGCGTCCTTAGTGTTGGCGGCGTCAGAATCAGTGACCCTCCGTCGCCGGCGCGTGCTGCTGCAAGCAGACAAGGCTGCTCGGCGCTTGCCGCAGCGCACAGCCAAGACCTTTGGCCGACTCTGGTACCTCGACGATGACATGACGGTGCACCAGATACGAATCTGATTCAGATCCAAACTAGTAGTATTGAAGTATTGATGCGAATCGATTAACACTCGGCGAAGGAAAAAAAAACAATTTTAGATAATCATCAGGCAAAGACGACCTGCCGGTGATCCTCATGTTCAACGGCAGCGGTGTGAATCACAGCAGATCCAGACAACGCTTCGCTAAGCAAGGCCGGAGGGGAACGTGAAGGGTCAGGTCTTTGGGTTTGGGAGGCGGCGACACTACTAAAAAAGAACAAAATATTTGATAAATACTTATTATTCTCTATTCCAAACTGTAAACGTTTTAACTTTTCTATATATAAAATATATAATAAATATCTAAGTACACAATAAAAGGTGTATATCCAAAAAAAAAATCAAAATATCTTATAATTTAAAATAAAAGAAATATCTAATATATTCTCGGCTCTTTATGTCTTATCCTTCGTCAATGTTGTTTACCAAAATAGATAATGACCAAAAATCATTCGACCATATGCAACGGACGTTTTCATATTGATACGATTAATATAACTATTGTCATAGAACCGTCCAATTTATAAGAGCACAAGTGCGATGGCAGTTGCCGAGATAGTCGTACGTTCATACTTGAGCACATATAAATCCGGCAGTCCATTGACTATCACGAAGGATCTTGAAATACAAGCCGCATACAACCAAGATCGTACATGATTCAGCATACACACATCACATGTTACATATAAAGTTCACAAATAATTGACACGGAATTCAAATATAATTATTACAACACGAGGATTCGATAGTGGAAGCAACATAGTTTTAAAACATTCCACACACACGTAGTTCAAATACATGCGAGTCCATGATCAAGTCCAACAAAAGCAACATAAATAAGATACTAAAGAAGGCCTTGCACGCGGCCTCACTCCTCGTCCACAGCAGGAGAGAAGCAATTCTTGCAATACCCGTGGTAGACCAAGCCATCTGCAACGAGGGGGAAGAAACCCTGAGTACGAGGATGTACTCAGCTAGACTTACTTATCATAAACAAAAATAAATTGACATCAAGAGTATGCAAGCCTTTTTATAATGTAGCTGGCTTGACAACATTTTTGCATAAAAGCTAACTAAGTGAGTCCTCAACTTTTATTTATTCTAACCTCAAATTCATTAGAGTTATTTATGCTAAGTTTGCATCTATCCTGTGCCAATCAAGTTTATTTAGGACCGAAGCATCACATTAGTAACCATATTGAAATTATTATCATGAACAACATAACCATCATCTTTCATCAGCTCACTATGATGCTGAAGCTAGTCGAATTTCTCACTATCCGGAAGAGACGACGATTCAAATCGGTTGCAACCAGTTGGACAGAAAATCCATAACATAAACCCAGACAAACCAGATCATTAGTCATCTTTGGTCACCTTTGGTACAATTCAGAATAGTAGTGGGTTTGAGTTATGCCACACACTCAGGGACCAACCGGAAGTCGGGATGTTCAGACAACGGTCTGCCCAAGGTCCATCCATGTCCTTGCACATACATCCTCCCCTCCAGTGTACGCGTCATCATCTCAATCTCCCAGCCTGGATTGAGCTACTCAGTTTTGCGGTCGGAACGACTTATCTGACCGGCTAAGTGAAAGGCGGTGTTCAATCTCGACAGAAGTTCCAACAATGGTACGGTCCTTAACCGACACATAGACGGAATCAATATAAGTTAACCAATTACCGTCAACCTATAAAATCCAGTCCGGCCTCCATTTATATAATACCACATGGTTATTTTCACGATAGCAAATATAGTCAACTGTGATCAGGTATCCACCTATATCTCGCAGGTGACAGGAAATCACCCGACTTCTACCGATCTAAGCATGGCTAAGCATATATTTCGATCCTAGACCTAAAAAGGGTAACAAGATATATTTCTATACAAGGAAAGATATATGCACCAACGGTTCCAAACAACTCATATAACTTAATGCATTAAACACAAAAAGACTCAAGTTATTTTTAATAAATCATGGGAGGCTTAATATGCTCCGGGGCTTGCCTTTGATGTAGCTGGTGGGGGCATGCGTCGGGCACTCAGGCAACTCCTGGACCTGTCCTTCTTCAGGAACCTCCTGGTGCACCTCTGGTGGGATCTCCTCTCCCACGGTCTCGATCTCTAGCAAGGTTACTCCCTCCGGCGATGTATGGACATGCACATGATAAATAATAGGAATGCATAGCATAGGAGGAGACATGTATGTATGATATGATGCAAACATATGGCTGAACATAACATGGTATAATAGCAGCAAGCTACTACATAAACATGTTTAGCATGGTTATAAGAGGTGATTACAAGATCAACTTTATTTTACTGAGTAGGTGCATCTCTTCTCTAGAAGAGAAGAGGAACACTCACCACATCCTGGAATTCTAAGATACAAAATTCATTATCTGTAAGAAGTCTAAAATCTGTAGCTAGCAACTTATCTCAATTAGCTTAAGCAACTACTTAACAAGCATCAAGTTCAAATAAAGCAACAATTCAAGAAAAGCTAGATACTTGAATTATAGAACAATAATTAGCTAACTGCATATCAAACATCAAACCTGTGCGCAACCAACTATACTAACAGATTATATACATCACAAACATGCTAAAAAGTATATGGTTGCACCCAAATAAATTATTTATAAGCCTTTATTAATTTACTAAGTTAGCAAGATGAAGCAGAGAACTACTACTTCCTATGCACAGTAAATTCTGAGAACATTACAGAAGCCTAGTCATGCATATCAAAGTCTACTATATACATTTCACAACTTTTGAGCAAGTAAAACAGCCTCTACAACATTTAAAAAAAAACTCGACCAAGGGGGGTTAAGACTGCCCCCACAGCATTTCAAATAAGAAGAAGGACCTTTTTCACCCGGCCGAGAAAACCCCCGAAGCCCCGCCCCACCCTTACACGGTGGCTTTCCATCGCCCAAGTGAGAATTGGGCGGTGCTCCCATGCTTTGGTTATGGAGACGGACGAGGAGATTTTTTTAACCTCAGGCCCCACCCTTTCGCAGCCTCTACAACATTAACAAGTAAAACAGGCTTATATCAACTTAAATAGGTTTACCCTAGTGAAAAGTGTCAAACAATAAATTTCAGATTTTTCTTGCATTCAACATATCACCAGGAAGCTATGAAAATTATTTCATACACAGAAGATACATATAATAGCTATACTCACTTTTACATGAAAACAAGCATTGACCCAAGTTAAATCATAACATCACAACAAAAGCATGCATACTGCCCGTTTATCATTTTTCTTAGCTAGAACATGTCAAGAGTGAGCTAACAAAACTGGAACCATGACTTTTAGACACTTCTAGCTCCAGTTTCACATTTTACAAGATCAAGTAGCACTTAACATGGATAAACAAAACAGCATATAAAACATCTTCAAACAGCAGGTTTTATGGTTCTATCAGGTAGAGAACTTCAAGACAAAAACTAAAAAATGTTTCACCAATTTTGGACCTCCCTAGCTCAAGTTATAGATTTTAAAAGTTCATCACATTTTCTGGAATAGATTAAAACAAAAACTAAAACTAAACCCTAAACATTGTTACATGCACCCGGCTCAGTGTACCCAAAGGCGCTAATTGCTGGGGCCCGTGGTCAACATGACCCCACAAGTCATCCACACAGAACAGGGCACCGGTTTGACCGGCCAGTAGCACGCCGGCGGCGAGACCGGCACCACTAGACTCCTCTCGGTCTCACACATTTGTGGGTGCAGCCGGTTGGGCTGGTGGTGCTCGAGCAAGGGCAACAGCGAAAAAGGGCAGCTCTAGCGGCCGGGCTTTAGATCAGCGGTGGTGGGCTTTCCGCTTCCGGCCGGAAAGGCTACCGGCGCGCACAGGCGTGGCTCTAGGGATCCCGTGCGACATCCTAGGGTTTGGGCTTGAGCTCGGTTGGGTGGTGGCGAGGTGCTTGCCCGCGTGCATGGTGGCCGGTGGCCAGAGCGTGGCAACGGCATGAGGCGTTCCGGCGAGGACGGCAAGGGAATTGGCTAACGGGCTTCAGTTCAACCTTCTGTGACCTAAGGCCAAGCTAAAACAAGCAAGAAAGAAGAGAAGAGAAGAGAAGGAAGGGACGTGCATGGCCACGGCGAGCTCGAGCTCGCGGCCATGGCGTCCGTGGCGGCGGCAGCGATTTTGGCCCGCCTAGACTTACCTTGTGACCACTGAGGGCTTAGCTAGGATGGGGAGCTAGAGGGCACCATGGTGGATCTTTGGGTGGAAGAAATCATGCGGTGGTGCTTTGGTGGCGGTGGATTTGGCCGACGATGATGGTGGCGACGGCAATGGCGAAAGTCGCCTTTCTTGGCTCGGTGAGGGGAAAGGGCGACAGAGAGAGCGAGCTAGATGAGTATCAAGAGGCATCCGCGCGACCCTTAGCGTCGCCTCGGGCAGAGGTGCGGGCGCCGGAGACGTATGGTCACCACGCGGCATCCAAACGCAGTGGCCGATTGGCCACTGAACTACCTCAGCCGTTTCAAATAGGTTACAAAGCCGACTAAAACTCCATTTTCTCCCCCTTCTAACTCTCTAACCGGTTAATGATTTGATCAACCAATTGCTCCATGCTGTAGAGAACCAATTGCTCCATGCTGTAGAGATGCATGAGTACTACAACATTGATTAAAGGAGCTTGGTCCAAATCGAGCTGGTTTACAAGGTAAAAACTCCCAGAGATGGCTACTTGGAAACTAAAACTGAACTTTCAGCCTTCCTAGACTTAGCCGATTTTTGGGACCCTGAAAACAACATTGGATTCAGATTTGTGGGCTCTTGCTGGCTGTGTTAGAGGCTCAACTAGGTCTTGGTCCCAAAACAAAGTTAGTTCTACTCAAACTAAACTACAACTTTTATTTAAGGTCAAACCTAAGCAACAGATCAACTCAGGTCAAACTAGCATCTTGAAAAAAGTTGCTCCCAGGCAGCTG